TGTTTTGGTGATATAGAGTGCATTTACTGTCCATTTCTCCTCTCCTATGTGAATGGCAGTTCATCTCCTAGTGTAGTTGAACTCAAATGTTATCTTTTTCACTTGTGATCTTCATCATCAACTTGTTTTTCCACTTGGGAGTAAATCGAAACTTATGTGTTGATGTTTCCTAATTTTTTGGTGATGTAGAGTGCATGTATTGTCTATTTCTCACCTTCTGTGTGAATCGCAATTCATCTCCTGGTGTAGTTGAGCTCAAAGTTTGTCTTTTTCACTTGTAATCTTATCATCTACTTGTTTTTCTACTTGAGAATAATTGTAATCTTTATCATCTACTTGTTTTTCCACTTTGGATTAAATCGCAACTAATGTGTTGATGTTTCATAGTATTTTGGTGATGTAGAGTGCATGTATTGTCCATTTCTACTCCCTTTGTGAATCACAATTCATCTCCTATTGTAGTTGAGCTCAAATCTTGTTTTTTCACTTGTAATCTTCATCGTGTACTTGTTTTTCAACATGGGAGTAAATTGCAACTAATGTGTTGATGTTTCCTCGTATTTTTGTGATGTACAGTGCATATATTGTCCATTTCTCCCCTCCTATGTGAATCGCAATTCATCTCGTAGTGTAGTTGAACTTAAATCTTGTCTTTTTCAATTGTAATCTTCATCATCAACATGTTTTTCAATTTGGGAGTAAATCGCAACTCATGTGTTGATGTTACGTAATGTTTTGGTGATGTAGAGTGCATGTATTGTCCATTTCTCCCTTCCTATGTGAATCGCAATTCATCTCCTAGTGTAGTTTAGCTCAAATCTTGTCTTTTTTACTTGTAATCTTGATCATCTACTTGTTTTTTCACTTGGGAGTAAATCGCAACTCATATGTTGATGTTTCCTAGTGCTTTGGTGATGTACAGTGCATGTATTGTCCATTTCTCCCCTCCTATGTGAATCGCAATTCATCTCCTGATGCAGTTGAGCTCAAATCTTGTCTTTTTCACTTGTAATCT